AAGGGTGGGCTGGAAATGAAAGGAGATATGGTGTGTAACCTACCTAGGGGACGTGCGCCTTCTGGAACTTTCCTGATACCACTAGGATAGGGTCAAAAAGAGGTGATCTGCCGTGCGCTCCTTTATCTTCCCAGAGACAGGATCCCGTGGCCTGGAACACAACCTTTCAGATGTACGCAAGGAAAGTCCTCCGGACCAGATACACCCTGCTGCCCTACCTCTACACCCTCATGCACCGGGCTCACGTCGAGGGCGGCACGGTGGTCCGGCCCCTCCTCCACGAGTGAGTACGCCCGCTTCCCCGGCGGGCCTGGGCGTGTCCATGCTCACCCTCGGCGACGGCCGTAACAGTCTGAGAAGACCTTTTTTATGCCTATTTTTTAAGGTTTAGAGAGGACAACACCACGTGGGATATAGACCATCAGTTCATGCTGGGCCCTGCCGTCTTAATCAGCCCCGTGCTGACAAGTGTGAGTTCCCATCACAGGTCACAGACCCTCCGATCACGTTACCTGTGGAGCAGGAAGGGCATTTGAAAAATCCTCTCGCCCAGCTTGGTACTTCTAGAATATTTCAGGGAAATCTTTTTCTTTTTTTGAGGTCTCTGTTAATGAAAACTTAACAACCTCAGTTGATTTCTTGTTTTAATGTCTTGTCGCCTTACGTCCTTATAAAGTTGACCTTTTTTAAAAAAAAATTATTTTTGTGTGTGTTTGAATTTGCCAGGATCTTTCTTAATATAATCGCCCAAACTCTTAAGATCATTAATGAAAATCCCTTTTTTATGTCAATTCTACAGAATTTTAGAAATTAAGATGACATTGCTGAGCTATTCCTCATGGCTTGTTGATTTTCTGTTTCAGAACACTTTCGAGGTCCGTGCCTACTTTCCCAGAGCCCGCTGGTATGACTATAGCACGGTAAGAACTATCATATTTTGTGAAGAACCAGGTTGGTCCATGCAGGCTGGAGAGGTGGCTGGAGTTTTCTCCCGACTTCCAGGCACCTATTTTATAAGGCAGTCATTTTCAACCTTTTAGTCCTGAAAGGTTTTTTAAAATAAAAATACCCACAAAAGGCCCTGGCCGGTGTGGCTTAGTTGGTTGAGGATCATTCTGTGCACCGAAAGGTTGCCAATTCGATTCCTGGTCGGTGCACAGGCCTGGGTTTCAGGCTTGATCCCCGGGAGGGGGCATGTGGGAGGTGGCTGATCAGTGCTCCCCTCTCACATCGCTGTTTCTTTCTCTCTCCCTCTCCTTTCCTCTCTCTCTAAAAAAAAATAAATTAAAAAAAAAATCAATTTAAAAAAAGCATCCCTGAAAGCATAACTGGGTAAAATCTGATGCCATATCACACTGAGTCCTTCCCCGCCCCCACCTTTTCTGGAGAATGGAGAGGAAAGGCTAGCTTTCCAGGCTTTTCACCAAAGCTGCAAATTGGAGATTTGCCTTTTGATGTGCAGCAGCCTGCCGGCTTTCCGGCACGCCCCCTGGAGAAGGGGGGCCTTGTAAAGCATGCCTTCATTTCATCTCTGCACCCGTCCTGTCTGCGTTCTCCGTTCTAGGAATCGGGCAACACGTCGGCGGGCGAGTGGAGAACCCTGGAGGCCCCCCTTGACCACATCAACGTTCACGTCAGAGGAGGCTGCGTCTTGCCCTGGCAGGAGGCGGCGGGGAACACTCGCTCCAGGTCAGGGGGAGAGGCGGCCTCATGGGGCTGCCCACCTCAACGGGGGCTCTGCGGGGACACTGGCCGAGTCACAGGCCGTTCACTGCCTTGCTTCTTCCAAATGGGACCTGGGGGGGGAGTTCATGAAGTCAGGCTTGGAGACATCATTTATCTACAGCCCTGTGTCATAGGTCTGGGCAAAAGCTTTCCTGGGGCAGCCGCGTGTACCTCTTTCTATACTATTAAAAGTTTGGGAAATATTGATGAGCTCTTTGACTTGTGATGGCTACCCAGGGATTTAGTGCCCATTCCCCATTCAGCTTTGATTGACCCAGGAGAGATTATGTATATATACATATATGTATACATGCATACATACATCCATGTCACATTAAGGAGAACCTACATGTCACATTTTATTCTGTAGCATTCTGGAAGCTACTGAAGGGTGCGTGTGTTGTTGTTTTTTTGGGGGGAGAGTGTCTTCTTTCTATAAAGAAGTAATATGATAATCTAAAGGTAGTTTCTTATCATATTACTTATAATATGTATATAAATAAAGGATGTGTATTTGTTTTACCAAATGTTTATTAAGTTTTAAATATTTTTCCTATTAGCTTTTAATTATCTTGTATTTTGTCTCATATTGCCTATTTTTAGAGCTATATGTGCATTTTTAATATATTACCTTTTTTGTTCTGGATAAATAATATTTTCAAATAGAAGCTGCCCTTCATTTAGAGAAAAATAATTTTTTTTTCCATAGTCGACAAAACTTGATGGGATTGACCATTGCCTTGGATGACAATGGGAGAGCTGAAGGTCAGATGTTCTGGGATGATGGACACAGCATTGGTGAGTCGAACTTTCCAGGTCCCTGCACAGCATTCAGGGTCACCACACCCTGGAGGCTCAGAATATAGTTGGCATAAGCTGAAAATCTCATTTCTGCTACTGTTAATAAAGTAACGGTGTTGCTTGTGCTTTGTGAGTTATACGAAAAAAACAATTGCTAAATCTAAGGTGATAAAAATTTACCCTTGCTTTTTTTCTGAGAGTTTCATAGGCTAAGTCCTTATATTTAGGCCTTTGAACCATATGGTATTAATTTTTGTATATGGTATGAGGTAGAGGGATCCAGCTTTATTCTTAGCATGTGGATGGATATCCAGTTGTCCCGGTCTTTCTGTGAAAAGATTATTCTTTTACCATTGATTTATTTTAGTTCTCTTGTTGAAAATCAATTGACTTTAAATGTGAAGGTATATATACATAATTGAGGACACAGAAAAAACCTTCACATTTATATATATATATATATGTCTTTTTTCATTCATTCTTATGCCAGTACCACTCTGTCTTGAGATGGTTACTTTGAAGTAAGTTTTGAAATCAGGAAGCAAGAGCCCTCCAACCTTCTTCTTCTTTGTCAAGGAAATGCTTTTTTAAAAGCAGGTTTCCTCAGCCTCAATAGTATTGACATTTTAAGCTAGATAATTAGTTGGTGGTGGTGGTGGCTGGGCTGTTACTTACTATATGTTTAGCAGCACCCCCACTAGATGCCAAAGCACTCCCCTCAACCCTGAGATGTAACAACCAAATGTATCTCTAAATATCGCCAAATGTTCCCCCAGAAAAAACACCCCTAGTTGAAGCCGGTGTGTTTTGGGAATCTGTAGTCTTTTTATACAGCTCGAGCTGATTAGGACTGGACGACTGATGTCATAGTGGGTTAATAACACATAGTTAGGGTGTAAAATCAGCCCCCTAGAGGCAATATATTTCAAACATTTAAGAGAAAAACCAATTTTCTATAAAATTTTAGGTTATTTCAACAAATATGTTTTAGTCTCAAGGTTAAAATCAATAGTCCCTGCAAGTTTTAAACTTTTTGACTTCTATAGAGAAACTCTGCTTCACCAAACAGACTTATAAACATAAATTTAAAGTACCAAGATACAGTGTAAGTACACATTTGATTGAAATTTTCTGTTAACAGGTTTGTAACTATTTGTTAAACTTTCCCTTACTTACGTAAGGAGATTTAATACCTAGTTCAAGGATCGTGTTAAATCACCCATATTAACATAACCCCATTCTTTGAAAATTCTTTAAAATTGCTAAAAGAGGCTATAATATTTGCTTAGGTTACATTTTCTAGCCAAGACTAAACTTAAACATAGGGTTTTATGATTGATTGTTTCCACAAAAGTGGAGGTAATTTACAAAACAAAGAAGAGTCTTTGTTGGTTCAGAAAGAATATGTTCTAATAATGGTAAGAAATGGGATGTTGGCAAGGGCCAAGACAAGAACATGAAATGAAACTGACTTCTAAGAAACAGGAGGCTTAGAAGCCACATGATGAGAGAGTAGAGTAGACATCAACTGGGGATATTTCAAGATGTGTGGGCAAGAAAGAGATCTCAAAATCCTGAATATTGTGAAGAGATGCTTAGGTTTAATATACCACGTCACTGGTGACTTTGAAAGGATCCAATTCAGTGAAGAAAGGAAATAAGAGCTGAAGTGTAGGAGACGTACACAGACATCATGACAAGTGTAGGAGGTGAGTACACAGACATAACAAGCAGAGGCTAGCTTTTTTGAGACACATGGCAGTAGAAAGGAGACATGGTAGCTTGATACAGAGAGAATCAAGTCAAGGATTTGTCAGAACGGAGTGCTCTGGAGCTTAATTGGAGCGTGGAAGAGCAGGGAGGCTACGGGAAAGAACTGATGGGGTAAGTCCTGGAGAGGCAGAAGGGCTTGGGGGTGCAGAGTGCTGTGGAAGGGTGAGCTAAGAGCAGAGACAGAACAATAAAGATGAGGATGACGAGGACTTCAATGACGATATTGAACAACAAAGTTTGAGCACTTGTTGTGCACAAGTAGCATGTTATGTACTCTACTGACATGAGCTAGTTCTATTTTTATCTCCATTTTATGGGTGATAAAGTGTTAAGTGACTTGCCGGAGTTTGCACAACTACGAAGTGCAAGAGTTGGGATTTGAGCCCATGTCGATATGACTTGAGAGCCTGAATCCCTAATACGCTCCTCTGCTTTGAGCCTGTATCATCATAACCATGTGAGTTCTCATGGCCATGTGCTAGCTGTGTTGGCACAGAAATAACCAATCAGCAGCTTTCACACTTCTTCAGCTATGAGAGAAGAGCTTAGTTCAACCCAGGTTCTCTGGTCTTTGCAACCTCCTGACCCTTACCTCAAAACACTCTCTTCCATATGCACATCCCCACGCTAACCTGGAGTGAAATACTCCCGTAGCGCCTGTCTTTAGTGCTCCTCAGAGAAGTCAGGATTATCCTGATCAGTATTTGTGATCCCACTGAGACATTTTCTGACTATGTAAGATTATCTGCTACAGCCGAAGTAATGAGTAGTTGTGTGTTCCTTTTTCTTGCCTGCAGGTACCTATGAAAATGGAAACTATTTTTTGGCAAATTTTACAGCAGCTCAGGTAAGACATTTTGAATTGAATTTTATAAACTGTCTTCCAGTTAGCTGCAGATTAAATATTACTCATTAACTGTACAGATATAATATCCCTCATCTTAATCAGAAGACCTTTCTTCCTTTAGAGATCAGGTCTACTGACAATAAAATAAGGAAGAAACAGTCCTTATTTTGATAATTACCCAACATACCATTGCTCTGTAAAAAGAAACTTGTAATTCATTTAATGCTGGGGGAGAAATAAGTCCTTAAATGTATAACATGTTTTCTGGGATTGAGCCAGCTTTTTCTGGCTGATAAAAATGTGAAGGATAAATGCTACATCATCTCTCCATTGTACAACAATGATGCACAACAAACATCCCCAAAACTTAAGCAGCATGTAACAATAAATACTTATTTAGCTCATGAGTTTGCAGTGTGCAGTTGATCTGGGCTGGACTTGGCTGATCTTGGCTGGCTCATCTACATCTGCAATCAGTCTTGGGAATGTTAGGCTGCTTGGATGGTCCTGGCTGTGTGCACTCACATATCTGGGGGTCATCTGGCTCTTGGGCAATCTAAGATGGCCTTATGGGCAAGTCTGGGCATGACCTTTTCATGATTATAGAAAAGGGGAAACACAGAAGTGGAAATGCCTAAGTACTTTTTAAAATCTTCACTTGTGTCAAGGTGACCCATATCCCATTAGTAAGGCAAAGTCACATGGCCAAGCCTAGACACAAAGGTGGGATAGAATGCCCCATCCAGCACCAGGGCAGGAGGGCATTGCAAAATTACATGGAAAAGGGTATGGATAAAGAGGGGTGAATAACTGGACATAGTGATTCAATCAATCTACCATGCATGTTGAATGATTCCATGGATAACCTACACAGTTCTAATTGTAGTAGGAAGATCATTTCATGTCAAACCTGGAATCTGCTTCTCTAATTTTTCCCCCATTGATTTGAGCTAAAGAATAGTATAACACAAACCTATTGTGTTTTATTGTCTTTTATACATAATAGTTTTTTGAGCATTTGACGATGTCTGTCGTATATCCTTTCTGTCCTCTTGGAATTATACCCTCCAGGCTAACTTCCTCTGTTTTGTGCTTAAACTAGTTTTCAGATACGATTATTCTGTTTTGGACTATAATTAGTATAGACTTACCTTAAAACACGGTACCCAGGATAGAACTTCTTAGAGCCGCACTATCCAATGTGATAGCTACATTAATATTTGGTATCGTCAAATTTACTGTAGCTGGTACTCAGAAAGAATGACTTCATGAAGTGTTTAATTAAGAATGAAACAGCAAACCAGTACAACAGTAGTAATTTGAGGCTTCTTAACATTTTAATGTATAATATAGTCAATAAACAGATGTATTATGTATTCTTTACCTTTATACATTCTTTACAGAACACATTGCAGATCCAGACCGTACATGATAGTGATTTGAGTGAGTCAAATTCACTGAGAGTTGGATATATTAAAATCTGGGGGATCCACTCTACTCATGTGACACAAGTCAATATCACCTATGACAACATGAAATTCACAACAATAAATTTCCAGAGTGACCCCTACAATCAGGTATGGCTCAAAAGAACGTTGTTATAAGTTAATTTTATTCTGCAAAGTTATCATTGTTACATTTACTTATATTTGAAAGGTTATAGATATGTGCAATAGATCTATTCCTGAAAAGTTGTGAGTGTTGAATTATATTGTAAAATATAAAATATTAGTGGTCCTCCCCAGTGTAATCAAGGGAACATTATCAGTGGTGTGATGAAGTCGTTTCTGTGTGTTTCCCAAAGAAACTATGCTGTGTGTTAAGGTTGGTCTCCCAGGCTGGGGTAACAAAACTTATGTCTGTGGCAGAGTCTCAAACAAAGGAAAGAGTGAGCCTCTAAAATTGTTGTTGGAGATTTTCCCCCTTCTTCGTGAAATTACTCACACCCTTGGTCAGATCAATAGATCTTATAGGTTGGTGAAAATTGGCAGTAAACTGTAGTAATCATAAAAATGAATATATCCCACCTGTGATGTGAAATAAATTATTTGGTTAGCAGCCAGAGCCAACTAATTGAAGACAAGTTACAAGTAGAGTTATCAAGAGTAACAGCAGAGGGAAAAGTATCCCACTTTTGAACACTGGATCTATCATGAATATGGATTCAGTAACTCATAGGGGGTGGTTTAGAGAAGTGAAAGTGGATAAGTATAGTTCTGTTTTCTAAAAGGTGAAAGATTACCATGCTGGTATTTGAATTTTGGTCAGTGACCCTCTTAACAAACAGTCAAACAGACCCTCTTTCTCTAGTCTCTTTTATTTATTTTTTTTATTATTTATTTTTTTAAGTACTGAGAACTGATTTTTAAAATAATTTTATATTTTCAATTACAGTGCACATACTTTATTATATTATCTTAGTACATACACCCTAGTGATTGGACATTATATGAGTTAATAAGTGATCATTCCAATAAATCTCACACTCATCTGACCACATACATAGTTATTAGAATATTATTGACTATATTCCCTATGTTGTACTGTGCATTATTTAGTTCTTTATTTCAAAACATTTTTCTTGAACTATTGAGTTCAAAACCACACTTTTCAAGTAAATACTTCCCGTTAAGACTGATATAGAAGATCTTTGAACACTTTCTTTTTGGGAAAGTTTGTAGCATATCAGATGTCCATTTGTTTTGTGCTGGTCTCAACCTATCGATAACCAAGGTTGTGACCGGGCCAGCTCTTGTAGTTCTTATTATGAATAAAAGACGTTCTTCAGCAATAACCTTCAGGAAACTTTGAAAAGATACAGGCTTATAGCTTACAAGTCTTGGAAATGTCACAGCACACCTGGAAACTTCACAGCAGAAAGAGAGAGAGAGGGGGGAGAGAGAGCATGGGCAAGAGTCTAGGGGTTAGGTTTTTGAGGGGTGGAGGGTGGGGCCTAGGGCTTCCAGGTTTCGCTCTTTATTGGTGGCTTTAAAACATGATGAATTTCAAGCATGAGAAGAGAAAACAAAGTGGCCCAAATGGTCAGTTATTGAAATCAACCAAGATCTGGAAAACAAAGGAGCCTCAATGGGTTGGAAGTGGAAGCCTCCAGGAGATGGACAGATCTGGGGATTGACGCTTAAGACAGGCGACTGTATTACAAAAAAGACAAGAAACCCGAATATCAGGGCTCACGCTACACTATTATGTGCCAGGCAGTATACCAGTGTTGGGGACGGTGAAAACCTGAAACCAGCCTGCCCTCGGGAAGATTAAAATCTAGTGGAAAAACAAAGAGATTTTTATGAACATTGGTTTTAATCAAAGATGCAAATACTTGTGAGCAGTGTGGTTCTGAGTAAATGAAGTAGAAAGAAACCTTACCAGCACAGGGGTTATGCCCAAAGCACATCACCTCGTATCCGTCTGCCTGCAATCAGTGTGACCGGAAAAGGAACCTTCCATGACTCTCTGGGGAAAGAACGAATACATCATTTTGTTGTAGTTAAATGTGATGTTTAATAAGTTCTAAAATACCAATGTTATCTCTTCTTTTCTGGCAGACACTAACCATTCAATTGACTGACAAGACTATCCTGCTGAAAAACTTAACTGAGGTCACTTGGAGTCATGATGGTCCCGGCATTTCTACTACACCTATGACTAGTACCTTCTCGTCAACTTCCTATTCTACATTTACGACCCAGGCTACTCCTTCTGAGTCTATTGTCACTAGTTTTGCTACTACAGAAACTACCACTGCCAGCACTAGTGCTGCCTTTCCTAATACCACCGCTTATTTCCCAACAAGTACTCTTGAAGTGACACCTGATACTACTGTTCCTAATACTACTATAGATTTTCCTACAAATACTACCACTGCTAGCACTAGTATTGCCTTTCCTGGCACAACTACCTATTTCCCACCAAGTACTATTGAGTTTACAACTAGTACTACTGTTCCTAATACTACTATAGATTTTCCTACAAGTACTACCACTGCTAGCACTAGTAATGCCTTTCCTAATACAACCGCTTATTTCCCAACAAGTACTCTTGAAGTTACACCTGGTGCTACTCTTCCTAATACTACTGATTTTCCTACAAATACTACTACTGCCAGCACTAGTATTGCCTTTCCTGGCACAACCACTTATTTCCCACCAAGTACTCTTGAAGTTACAACTAGTACTACTGTTCCTAATACTACTATAGATTTTCCTACAAATACTACCACTGCCAGCACTAGTATTGCCTTTCCTGGCACAACCACTTATTTCCCACCAAGTACTATTGAGTTTACAACAAGTACTCTTGAAGTTACACCTGGTGCTACTCTTCCTAATACTACTGATTTTCCTACAAATACTACTACTGCTAGTACTAGTACTGCCTTTCCTAATACAACCACTTCTTTCCCAACAAGTGCTAATGAAGTTACAGCTAATACTACTGTTTCTGATACTACTATCNCAACCACTTATTTCCCACCAAGTACTCTTGAAGTTACAACTAGTACTACTCTTCCTAATACTACTATTGATTTTCCTACAAATACTACCACTGCCAGCACTAGTGCTGCCTTTCCTAATATAACCACTTATTTCCCAACAAGTACTACTGATACTACCACTGGTACTACTGGTCTTAATACCACTGCTCTTTCTCCAACAGATACTGATGCTACTAGCCCTAGCACTACTGTGCCAATTACAGCTATTCCTTCTCTGACAAATACTGGGGCTGATAATACTAGCATGGATTCAGTTACTACAAATATCTTAAATATTACCACTGCAGGAAACACAACAGCAACCACAGGCATCACCACAGTTACTTTGACTACAAATGCTAGTTCTGAACAAACTACTACTCAGATCATGTTAACGTCACCTCCTGCAGGCACCCCTGGTACCAGCACCACAGATAATGCACTGACCAGAATCAGCACCACTACTTATCCACCAGATACCCCTACTCATACTTTAAATACCACATCCACGAGCACCACCAATGCACATATTACCAATATAATAACCAGTGTTACTGACATTATAAGTACTCCCACTACACACAGCCCAGCTACTGTGGATACAATAGTCACTACTCCTCAAGATTTCACCACTCCCTCACACATGAACACTACAGATACCAAATCCACTACCAAAGCTACTGGAAATGCCACCACGGCATATCCTACCACCATCACTACAGATATTTTCCGCACAAAAACTCCAAATTCAACGACTACTTCTGATCCAGTCCTTACAAACACTCGCATTCCAGGTACAGCTCTTCCCAGCACCAATGCTGTGAAGAGTACAGAGCGTTCGGTAAATCACGCTGACGCAAAGAACTCCAGGAGTGTTCCAGGTGATGCTGCACCTGTTCCTGTTCCAGATACCACAGCAGCCTCAGACACGTTAACACCTGCTCTTCCAGATACAGCAGCTCACTATCTTGTAACAACAAATTCTACAGCCAGTTTTCTACCGATTGCAGCTAATGCTACCACAGCTACAACAAATGTTACCATATATGCTTCAAATACTATCACTCCTGATACGACACCAACGGATGCTTCTACTACTGCATTGACTTACGCTACAAATACCACAAACACTACTCTAGTTCCCTGATTACTGCTCAAGATAGGATAACTACTGCAGACATCTCTTTAACACAACTATTACAGATATGGAGAATCAACGAACAGATACATGGTCTTATGCTACATACATTTTCACAAATATTAGCATTAGCTTTTATAGATATAGCTGCCCCCAGCACCGTAGACATTTAAGATATATCTCAAGATGTATCCAGTACTAGCTTTGTAGCTACTTGTTCTGGAACTAAAATATATAACAGCTATTTTTAAAATTATAACTTGTATAGCCCCATCAATTAAAGTATAGATATTTTATATACCTTGCTACAGACTTCACAGGTGATTTTGGTGTCTTTGGATAACACCACATTAGGCTCTATAAATACTATTGCTTTACATGTGTTCATTGGGCTACGTACAGGACATAATACAATAACTGAGAGTGCTGGTGATACCTGTCACTCAAATAACTGCTATAGCAATAGGTATTAATATCATAGCACATTATTTAATTAGTAATGCAAAAACCACACTTTATTTTCCTATAGACTTTCCCAAATACCATGGCTATGAATGTAGGAATTTGCTATTGTACAAACTGGGGTATTATTGCCTCTAAAGGGACCCTATCTATCACTGTAAATATGAAAAATGCTACCATTGTAGTTCTCCTATACACTTTGACTCCAGGAACAAAAATAATTAAATTAGAAATATTATAGGTTACTTTTACTATAATAGAAAAATAAAAATGAGATGATCGATGTTAAAAACTTAACTTCCCAAACGTTGCAACCATTACTTCCATAGGTACTACCGATACTCTTACTACAGATTTGATAAGTACTTGTATTTATAGGCATTAAAAGTACTTCCAGGAAATTACAATTAATCTTACTTATGAGATAATCTTAGAGCCTTGCTGTTACCACTAATGGCTGGATTCACTGACACGGATCTAACTCTTCTATTGACCAGAAATCACCCAGGAAGAGATGAGTGTATTAAGATACAGCACAGGAGAGACAGCCTCTGCCCTGGGGTCAGAATTCATAATCTCATTCGCTTTGTCTTTTGTTCACTAGTTTTTCTTTCATTATTTGACTGTCCAGACTCTCCTTCAAGGGGTTAGGATTTCTAGCATGTTCTTTGGTCTTTCATGTTCACATTCACATTCACATTCACTATTATTTTTCTTCGATCTATTACTTTCTTCTCTCACCCAGACTCCCATGAATAGACTCATGGTTGAACGCTGTTGAAAGCTTAACTCTAGTGCAACATTTCCAAAATGTAGTTTGGGGACCCCATGGGAGGCCCTAAAACTCTTCCTGGGGTTTACAAGGTCAAATCTGTCTTCATAATATTATTTGTCTTTTTCACTCTCGTTCTCTCTTTAGTAAACAGTGGCATTTTCTAGAGACTCTTTGCTATGTGCTGTCACCACACATGAGTACAGAGACAGATACAAGAATCTAGCTGTCTTCTATTAAACCCGACACTAAGCAGAGTTACAAAATATAAAATCATGTCATTCTTTTCATTCATTTTTTTTCTTGCTTTGGAAAATATCGTTTTTTTTCCTTTGGAGAATATAGTTGTTTTTCATAAAATATTTATGTTAACATAAGTACGTTGTTATTTTTAACAAATGAAAAATAAATATTTTACAAAATATTGTACACATGAGTAAATTTTCATGTCTAATGCAGTAAATATGAGTAGATATAACCCACCTAAACAAAGCATGGGATCTTCATTAAACTCGAATGCAGAGGGCTCCTGAGACCAGAGGGTTTGGGAACCACCTCCCTAAGGCAGCAATATCCTAGCTTCACTCTCAGGGCCTGGTCACACACACCATGAACTTTCCCACCAGGTGGGGACTCCAGCACCTGTGCTTAAGGTTCTTATGACACATGAATGTCTAACACCTACTGTGAACACCTTTGCACGACTTTCTGACCTGCTTCCAGGCCTGTGCTATTGTCCGGGTGGCTTGGTGGTGTTCCATGTGAGGGCCACAGATCGCCGGTTAGTTGCTTTTGCCTTTTGGAAGCTACCCGCAAAAGACAGTCCTCTGAACAACGCTGATAGACCTTACACCGGAGTACATATGCCTCTTAACTTGACCTTCC